GCGTCGCATTCTTATCTTGCTCAATTTTTTTTAATAACGGTAGAGCGCGCGTAATCTATTGTCCGAGTTCAGTGATTTTAATGAGGGTAACATCAGTTGTGTTATCGGGAGCAGCCTGACTGATACTAAAATTTGTGAAGTAAGCAACGTTATCGGACATCCCTGTAACAACAAAGGCTGCTGTGATTGTACGATTGACTCCCGAATTAAAGTTAAAGTCGCTCGAGTACACAAGAGGCATCGACCCAGCACTTTGGCCAAGAAATATTGACAATGTACCATTTGAGTTTGCTGTGCCATGGAGGTTGAGCGTCCACTCCATAAGTACCTTGCCAGGTGTCGAAACATAGAAGACCTTCGAGGCATTGTTGGATTGCCACACGTCTTTAGTCAAAAGTTTGATAACTTGAACATTTCTTAGAAATGTTTGACTGGCAACCCATGGTTGAGTAGCACAAACCTGACCATTGCTATAGACAGCACCGTTCGAATACAGATTCCCTCCTGCAACAACATGTGCAGCAACCGCGACACCTCCTGAAATGACCAATGCTCCTGTGGAAGAACTCAATGCTGGTGTTGTAGAATCAATTGTGACATTTCCGGTGTTTGCCTGTATCATTAGTCCTTTAGCAGTCTGTGCTTGGAGCCGAAGATTTCCAATATCATTTCTCAACGTCATCGCGTTTTGACCTCCATCGACACTCCGGTTGTTTCCATTCAAAAACATAACAGCAGAACCTGCTGCATTCTGGAAGTATTGGATGGCACAACTATTGCTACCAGAGTCGAGGTTTTTAAGAATAATAGCCCGTAGCCCGTTAAGTGGCAAACCGATAGTTAGATTACCGGATGAGATGAGGTCTCCGGTGTAGGTGTTAACCGAGAATCGGCTATTCCATGTTCCAAAGGTATCACTGGAATAATGACCGAATTCATAACGACGTTGGTCTACGCTATCAGACGAGCTGGCGAGGTGGACGTGAAGGGCATCTCTGGAGTTGTTGTAGGAAATAGTATAGTCTCCTTTCGTAGAGGGAGTGTCGCTTCTCAACTTGAAATATCCACCTGTAGAGGCTGCTATAAGAACTTTTCCAGTAATGTTTCCACCTGAGAAGATACTTTTAGAAACCCCTATTCCTCCTTTAACCTGTAGAGCCCCACTTGATACGGTTGTTGCCTCGGATGTATCATTAGCAAGAATTGTATTTACCGACAGATTGCTGGTAGGTGTGAGTAAATCTTGTTTCGATGTTTGCAGTGCTGATATGCTGGGGGCATAGTCAACAATGTTTAAAATACTTCGCACAGCGATGTCATTTGCGAGAGTGAATCCTTGGACATCATCTCCCATGAGAAACATATTGCTCATTGGTGACATCGCAGCGAGAGTAGAGAGTAAGGGTGATGCATTTTGCTTCACTGAGAGATCGACATTTGTAATGCCTAATATTGTCTTCACCTCTTCAGGAGTTTTCACCGCGAATGTCGTTGCAGAACTCCCTAAAATGAAAGAATTTGCAGATAGTGTGACTCCACTAATGGAATCTAGGAGCGGACTCGATGTCTGTTTTGAAGCAATGGCTGCCCCTACATAACTCTCGGTTGCAACTTTCAGATTATTGGAGTACAGACTCCCTCCACAGTAGAGATTCTTAGATATTCCAACACCTCCCCTTACTTGGAATGCACCTGTGATTGAGGATGAAGCATCTGTGGTTGTATTGATAACGACATTCCCAGATGAGAGAATATCTAGTTGAGATGAACTATTTGTAACACCAAATCTCAGGTTAGTATTCCATGCCCACAGGCAGACATCGTTAATCTGATCGTTGAAGAAGGCTTGGCCATTCGAAGATGGGGAGAAGAATGTCATGTCACCAGTATTGACATTTCCACCGATGCTACCCCATCCAAAACCATAGCCAGTCCCTTTTCCACTGGTTACCTTATTACCAACCCACAGAGTCTTCGCAATTCCAACACCCCCAGATACCTGCAAGGCTCCTGATGTCACAGATGAGGAGTCTGTAGCGGTCAAGACTTTCACTTCATTTGAAATGGATACAATCCGTAGACCCAATCCGAGACCTGATTTTCCTTGGATGTTCATGTCCCCGCAGTCATTCCTAAGTGTAGCGTTATTCGACGAGCCATCAGCAGTCCTTGTAGAAGAGTTGAGAAAGAGTAAGGCTCCATTTCCGCTATCATTGGCACAACCAACGGCTGAATAGGCATTAACGCCAGACGAAACGTTTCTAGATTGCACCCAGTTTGGAGCATCCACAGAGGTGCTACTAATCACATTTCCTCCCGCATATAAGTCCTTTGCAACACCTAAACCCCCGCTTACTAGAAGTGCTCCTGTAGTTGAACTAGTCGATTGTGAGGTATTTGTTATCTGTGTAATACCGGTGTTGGAAATTTTGAAGACATAGCCGATGTTGTTGTATGAACAGTTGATTCCGAACCCACCTGCAGGGTTAGAGCCATCGGCTGTTGAACCTGCTACTCGAAGACCCCAAGTGATATTTGACGAAGTGTTGACCAGGGACATATATGTTGGATTGGCACCATTAATTACTGTTACATAACCACTAGCCGTAACTGAGGCAAGACTCAAATTAGTTGATGTAGTTATGTTGTTCTGTTTACCAGAAAGGAGTGTATTCACATTAGCGTTGGTTGCTATATCGAGGATGCCTTTCACTTGAGTGGAAGTAACATTCTCGAACGTAGTTCCAGCAGAAGAATATAGCCAACTATCAGGTTGTACCGTCATACTATAGATGGAGTTGGTAGCACTGTTCATTGTTTGCTTCGATGCGAGTGCAGTAGTAACGGTATTATTGTTATTATTAACTGTGGTTGTCAATGAAGACAAGGATTGACTTATTGGAGCGGTGTTATCAATTACAAATTTCTGAGTTGCAACTTCAATACCACCAATGTAAGCCATTCCACCAATATATGCATCAGTTGATACTCCTAGGCCGCCACTCATGACCGTATTACCTGATGGGTCAATTTGGAAAACATACCCCTTATCTTGAAGGGAAGAGTAGAAACCGAGTGTTCCAGTTAGCAGATTCGAGTTTGCAGAACCAGCCACATGGATATTCCATGTCTGTGCAGCACTAGTGTTCCCTAGTGTGATCGCTGAAGCATTGGTGTTTGAATTTTGTACCGTTAAACCGCTCAGGTTAAGCGAACTCGCAGGTGTAATCAGGGGCTGATATCCTGTTGTTACAAAGGATTCCGTGGCTACTTTCACTCCGTTTGTGTATACATCCCCTCCAACGTACAGTGATTTAGCGATGCCTACACCGCCTTTCACCTGGAACGAGCCGGATGTTGAGGAAGTAGCATCAGTTGTCATATTGATAATAACATTCCCAGATGAGAGAATATCCAAATTCGAAGCCGTTGCATTATTTGTACCGATACGCAAATTACTAGCGGAGGCTCGAATGATGTAGTCTCCAGCAACTGAATTTGTTACCCATTGACCTGCTGTTGCTGTATATCCGAATGATCCATTGTTTATTTGAAAGGCAGCAGCCGCTGTAGTAGATATAATAGCATATTTTCCCATGTACACTGTGCCTTGGACTCCTAATCCACCAGCAACCTGTAATGCACCTGTTGTTGTAGAGGATGCATCATTTGTAGCATCCAGTGTAACAATTCCAGTGTTCGCGAGTATTGTCAGTCCTCTAGCGGTCTGTGCTTGAAGCCGAAGGTTACCAATATCATTTCTCAACGTCATTGCGTTAATGCCTCCGTCCACACTCCTATTGTTTCCGTTCAAAAACATCACTCCAGAACCTCCTGAGGCCGTAAGATAAAGAATACTACATCCATTCGTCCCTGTACTTGCATTGCTTACGGTAAGGGCACGTAACCCATTTACAGAAGAGGCTCCGACAGTTAGGTCACTACCAACAAGGCATGAACCATTTGTGTCCACTCTTAGACCCAGAGATACTGCACTAGATGTCCGTCCGTAAATGTAAATCGGCTTGTCTTGTGCTCCTAACCACGTAGCAGCATCACTAGCGTACCCTAAAAAACCAGAACCATCCAGACCCAGCCAAGACGATTTTGTACCGTCAAAACTATTTGAAATAAAGACAGACGAGCCTCCTGCTACAGAGGCGGTCGTTTGAACTCTGCTTCCTGTAATGACTTTCCCTGAGATATTGCCGCCAAATGTAACATTATTTGAAGTTAGATTAGTTATCTGGCTTCCGACCCAAGGTTTGATAACATCATTGTCGTAATCTCTTAACATCGAGAGATTAATTGCTTGCTGAGGGTATTCGTATTTGATGCCTCGATAACATGAAGGCGTATCAAACAAGAGACGAGTACAACCTCCAATAGGGTCTGAAGCAATTGCAATGTTAGAGCCTGGCTCCAATGGTGGCATGAAGGTAACAGGGTCTATTTCCATCGCCATCGAGTATAGGTTGGCCTTCCGCATCTCGTTGAACCTTACGTTTGCGTGACCCTCCGAAAATCATTCCCCAAGGGAACGTTGAGACGATTGGGAGGATGGAGTTTACAGCCATAGGGACTGTCAAGGGCGGCGATACCATCGCTGGGAAAGGTATTGCTGTAAGCGGTGTTAAGCCACTAAGGACAACTACGTTGCCTCCAGGAACATCCGTTTTCAACACTTCTGCGGTATCAGTCTGTTCAGTATTATCGGTATCCCTTTGTTTCGATAGTGGCGTAGGGTCAATGAGGGTAAAGTTATAAAGCGGATACGAACCTGTAATGATGAGATTTGGACTGTTACTTACGAATTGAGGAGGAATCATGTTATACTGAATCGTATTTCCAACAACAATAATACTTCCATATGAGTTGGTACTGCCCACATAATTACCTCTTAAGGAATTGCCTACGCGAAGAATAGTATCACTTCCTGAAATCGAACATGAAATCAAATCGCCGCTAACTTGCACTCCATTGATACCTCTTAGGTTTGTTGACAAAATCGCACCATTTTTTTGCAGTCCAATTCCCGCAGCGATGTTTGAACTCAGAACACCATTGTTTAGAGTAAGATCGGGTGACTGTGCTGTTAAACTCAGTCTGAAGTCGTTCCCCATCCTGGTGACCCCTTGGGAGGCTGTAAAGATATCCCGTATGGTACCCCTGTTGACCATAGCCAAACCGCTGTTAGCATCAACTTTTAGATCGAGTTGAAGGTCATTCTGTACTCTCTCGATACCATTGCTGCAAGTCAGTACGTCTTTAATGGTATCTGCTTTGACCATTTGGAGACAACTGCCAGCCTCACATTTGAGAGACAGCATAATATCGTTTGTAGTGCCAGGACGAACCGCCACTCCATTAAAGTCCTGAAAAATGTAGCCACCTGTTAACTGGTTACCTACAACTCGAACTGTTTGGTTATCAACGAGCACACCGATTTCACGTCTTCCACTAAACTCGGGTCCCACTGCAATCGCTCCAGTTTGAGAGCCTTGATAAAATTGCGAAAGATAGTCTTTACTTACAGCATACGAGCCACCTCCAATCGCAGGCAATGTTCCGCTTAACTTTACATTGGGTACACGCAACTCCTGAAGCGTGGACGAATAGGTGAATGAAGAACTTCCCGAGTAGCCATAAGTAAGGTTCCCATACATGATTTGTTCATATCCGGGTGATTTCAGGGACAATCTCGAACCCGCTTGACTGAATGTGGAACTATCTACCATTAGGCGAATGGCTGTGGTATCTACTTCTCCTAACACATCAGTCATTTCGGTCAAACTATCGAATCCAAAGTCGAGCCATGAAGACCCGATGTCTAACAACGTATCCGCACCTGAACTCGATTTCAGAGCGCCAAATGCTTTTAGTACCGACTGAATGTTAGTTTCCAATTCGTCATTATTGTTCACCTTTAGACTTTTATGAAGTTTGATTCCAAGGCCGCTCTGGTCACGATACAACGGCTTTTTCAGCGTCTCAGGATCAGGAAAATTAACCGATAGACCGTTTTCAGTTATAAGCAAAGTATCATCTGCTTGTAAACCAACCGTACATGATTCGGCATCCCTGTAGAGTGGAAAATCATAGTTATAAGGAATGACTGTTAATTTTTCATCCTCAACTTTTAGTTCATCATCATCAATGTTTAGGCTTACTGTTCGTGAGTCGGGAGCCCTATAGAGAGGTTGCAGGAGTGTCTCTGGTTTAACAGATAAGCCGTCTTCTGTTATAAGCAGAGTATCGTCTGTTACAAGCCTGACATCATGTTCATCATCAATTAATGGAAAAACATAAGTTGTCTCGGCAAGAGAGATGGTATATTTACCTTTATTTTTCTGAATGGAGAGACTAGGCGTTTGACTATCCAAATCGAGTATAGTGACTATACCATCTTTATTCCGTAGGCTCTCTCCATAGATAGAATTGGCTTTAACTTTTCTGGACTTGAAATTATCTAGGACTTCTAAATTTCTTCGAACCGTATATGTGCCTTGAATGCTATTAGGCAAAGGCATCTTCTTATTCCTTTATATCATCATAGCTTAGAAAATGAATTGCATGCCGACATTTGGTCTATACAATGTCATCAAAGATCGATGGTGGTTTGGTATGCATGATATCCCTGCCGGGATAGGCCACTCCGTGCCCGGCATGCCTGCCGGCATATGGCTCTGTGCCGGGATCCCTGCCGGGATTGGCCACTCCGTGCCCGACATACTCATGTCCATTTTTAAAACGGACTACATCTGCGCGAGTGTGGTGAACGGGGCGATTTCTCTTTTTCTTGATGACTTTGACAACTTCCTCATAATCATCTGAAGAATCATCTTCTTCTTAGTCTGACGATTCCTCAACTACAATCTTCCGTCTTTTTTTTGGTATCGGCATTTTAATTCTTTTTTTAGTCTTGTGACTATATGAAGTATTTTGTAAGTCCTCCTCAGCGCGGAGCCTAGCCTCGACACGTTTTTCCTGTTCCACCCTAAGAGCCTCGGCCTTAGCAAGAATCCTCTCCTCCTCTTTTCTCTTCTTTTCTAGTTCTCTCTCTTCTTTTCTCTTGGCGGCGAGTTCTCGTCTAACCTGAAGAGCCTTTTCTCGGGATTTTTCTAAATGTGCTCGCTGCTTCTCTGATGCAGTTTGTTTTTTGGGAGCGCTGGCATTGACCTCTCCGGTATTAGGCTCTGCGCCGGCATCCCTGCCGGGATTGGCCGCTCCGGGCCCGGCATATTTGTTTACAAGTTCTTGAACATAGTCTTGATGATCATCGTCATTAGTTTCATCATCATCATTCAAACTTTGTTCTTCATCTGTAATGTCAGGCATGCCTGCCGGCATTTGGCTCTGCGCCGGCATAGATTCCTTTTTTTTAGGCATTTTAGCTTGTAAATAGAAAATAAAAAAACCCAAATACGCTTAGCGAGGTTCTTTTGTCCATGATGATGGTATCTTATAAGAATTACTTGCCCACTCTTTCTTAAGTTCCTTGTGTACCTTACCATTTTTTCTAATCCAATTACCGGTTCTTGGATTGTAAACTTCCTGCAAGGATGATTCTCTCGGGTTTCTCCTCTCGTGAAGCCTTGGCGATGGCTGCATTGTTGTGAAGTCAAATGCAGATGATGATGGAGATGGTGAGTCATCCATCGGCGCTAGTGATGGTAAGCCTGAGGTTGGTGATTCAGATTGCCTATGTAGAACTAATTGTGTAGGTGGCGTGCCTCCTTCCTCATAAAAGATGTTCTCAGACAAAGCAGGAGTAGGTCGTATCACGCCACGTTGCATGTTGTATTCATCTCTTGAGGCAGAAATATCAGTACCCCTAGTGCCCAAGCCAGTTGTTTCTAGCAAACTCTCCCCAGGATTGTGAATACCATGTGAAGAGCGGAAACGCTGTATGTCAGCCAATTCCTTACGTTTTTCCTCTTTTATAAACTCTTCATAACCTTCGCGCATTCGTCGGATGCGTGCAATCAAATCTATGTCATTTTTGTATCCTTCACTACCGTGGTTTATCGGATACCTAGTTTCTTGATTAGCACTTGGAGCATTCATCCGGGTACGACCCTCCCGCATCTGTTTGAGTTCTGCATCAGACACAACAGGACGAAATGTATCAGGATTCAAAGAGCGTCCATTTTCATCTCTCAGTTCACCAAAACGTCTATTATCAATTTCAATATAGTATGGGTCACTGATGAATTGTGTATCAACCTTACCAAATGAACGATACTTGTTTAACAGCGGGTGCTTGAAATAGCCTGTAGGTAACTTTGAGTCAACCCATTTTCTTTTTTCTTTCCAGAACACATCACGTTCAACCTGCTCAGAGTTGTAAGCAGTTACATCAGTGTTACCTTGCTGTAGTAGTTTTACTAATTCGGCAACAGACATATCGTTCTATTCTGTATTTTACTATATAGTATTATTAAAAAAAAGAAGAATGTCGTCTCAGCAAAGGAAGGAACGGATACAAGAGCGTTTGAGGAAGAAGTTGGCTGAAAGGAATGAAGGGCAAGAAATGGAAACAGTTCTTTCTCGAATTATAAGAGAACTGGAGGAACCTCGCATGCCTGAGCCGGCATTGGCATACAGTAAGGAAACCATCATCCCAGACGCTGATGCGGGGGGTATTAACTGGAACGAATATGTTATTATTCATGAAAATCCTCTTTACAGTGATGACTTGAATGAAATCATTTGACGCTACTTTTTCTAAAAGTAGCATTAATACCCCGCTAATTCAACAGGAAGCGATTTCCTTAAGGCTGAATCAAAATTTTGTTGAATCTCATAGCCCCGCCCTAGACCTTTATGGAGATCATCGATATAGCCTCGTCCTCGTGAAATTGTCTCTCTTACTTTGATGGGTACAGATTCGTCATGGACAAGAGATTGATGAACTTTCCCATAGATATCTTTGGCTTGTCCAGCATGGGCAACAAATTGTCTAATACCATTGTTAACTTTGTTATAACTGTTCAGCGCTCTAAGACCAAAGTTTTTTGCACTTGAGAGAAAGTTTGCGAATTTTTGATGCAACATCTTTTACATGTTCCAAATGAAAAAAAATTAATCATCTGGAAAGCCGGAGGAATGACAATCGAGAACTAAAGTGAACCCTTTGCCCTGTAGATCCAAGGGTAGCAATGTTTCTGCATCAAGCAAACGGATGTCGATCGTACTAACAAGGCCAGACTCTGTGTCAATGAAGTCGGTGTCAAAATAATTCTGCGCACATAGGACAGTTTCAATTTCTTGCGACACCGGAATAGAGGCAATGATATTTAAATCATCTGCGCCTGCATAAATGACATCATTTGACCTTATGTTAGATGAGGCTACGAGCACCATCTTAACACCTGTCAAATCGATTGGATTTGCAAAAGTTATTGATCTCCCAGGGTCAGATTGCTGCGTCTGAACTAATCCGAGCAGTTTGCTTGCTGTGGTTTGAGGGTAGAGAACTTTGAATGGTGTTGTACCCGCGGTCACTGTGATTTGATTGTTTATATGATTGTATTCTACAGTGTATGCTTGCGTCCCTGTAGAGTTGAATCCAGCAGTCAGTGCATCCACTAAATCATCTGGAGAGTAAGTACCAGGAGGTATAACGAAAGTCCTTGCAGCATTACCCATCCCAGCATCATAAAAGGAGACAATATTGTTCTTGTCGTTTACTATGTCCCACGAAAGGGGCAAAATGATCGAATTGTATCGAATTTTATCACATGCAATGGGTTCGGCTAGAGTCCATTTAGGTTCATTCCTGTTTCCGTTCGTCGCTCTGTTGCTATCGAGAATCAACTTTTTCATTTCTTCTAATGTATTATAGATACAGAGAGCAAATAAAAAACAAGTGCAATGAAGCCAATCACAATTGCCCCCTTACCTAGTCAAGTCTCTGGACGAATAAAGGATAATACAGATCCACGGCTTCCTAGAAAGTATGGTTTTATCGTATACAATGGCGCTCGATTTAGCGGTAAAACGCTAAACATTGCTGTGATATGCAAATTGTTCTTGAAGAAGCAGTATTCGAATATCATAATATTCACACCAAATCCGCATGACACCAATTGGAACCCTTTAAGAACGAGCAAAAAGGTTCATATATTTGACAAGATTTCCAATGAAATACTCAATTTTATACACGAAGAGCAACTTTATGAATTTGTTCGAAGCGGAAGAAAACGAGATTTACTTCTTATCATAGATGACTACAATATGCAGAAAGGACATAAGAAGTCACTCGATGAGTTGGCTACACGGGGTAGACACGCTGGAATCACCTGCATCCTGTCGAGTCAATATTTTTATCACAATAGTCCCGCTGTCCGTAGCAATGTGACGAACTGGATCATTTTTAGACCTTTGAAAAGCGAACTTAAGAAAATGATCGAATCAGGCTTATCTCTCGCTTTACCTGAAGATGTATTTGAAAAGTTCATTATGGATAATACAAAGAAACCATTTCATTTTGTGCACATAAATCTACAAAGTTCGAAAAGACCGTTTAGAGTTGGTTTTTCGTAGGGGGATAGGCTGTCCCCCTTTGACCCCCTCGCTTTGACAACCATTGTAACTTGTTAAGCTACACCGACTGAGTTCAGGCTATTTAGGACAGCAAACTCCTTTCCGAAAGGCACAATTTTTGATGTCACTTTTTCTTAAAAAGTGACGTTTTTTTTTTCTAGATGTGTAAGTTAAACCACAATGTCTTCAGGAATTCAGGTAACTGAGGTTCGACGAGTCCCAAACGTCTTTACGTATAAGCGCAATGCCAAGAACGGGGTTGTGCTGAATTTTCAGCCATCTAGTCAGGTTCGCTTCGAGCCTACCAACGGATCGGGTGACTGTAACTTTGGCAGCAAAATCACTTTTAAAATAGCCGATGACAAGCATTTTTGGCTTGTGAATGAAACCTTACATAAATATCGTGTCGTAGGGCTTGATGCAAATAGACAGGAAATCGTTTCTGCCACTGCAACCCACAGGCTATGTCAATCAGGAACAGATGCTGTATGGAAACGCCAAAGTGTTCTTATTAATGGAAGGATCATCGAAGATCTCAATGATTATAATTTGTTCACCGCACATGAAAACGCTCTAACATCGTGGGAAACCAAACAACATCTTGGGCAATGTGAATATTATTCGAGTGATGTGGCTAACGACTGTTCAGCAGTGGTTGCTAAAAACAGGGCATACACTGTCACTGGCTCATCGCTGTCATTCTTTCAAAATGAAGTGGCTTTCCCTCTCTGTCTTGTCAAAGGTGGTGTCCAGGTCGAGATGACCGCAGAGAGTGAACTTGCCAAAATTTTCCCCACATCCACAGGAATAGATTCATTCAAGATTGTCCAGAACGAACTCATTTGCCAGTTCGCCGAGCCCATACCCGAATACTACAACAAGATCCTTAGCCTAATGGAGAGCAACGAATACTTGACCATCCCCATGCAAGTTGTGTGGAGTCAGGAGTTTGCTGGGCAAGCCAGTCGCGTACAGCAATTGTCACTTGTGACTGGTGAGCAGTCCTCTGTTTCGTCATTGATGTTGGTGACAACTGACAATGTTCGAACTGATGTAGACAAATTGAATTTCAGTGAAGATGCTGGGATTAGAACAGTTAGTATCCAGGTGGGTACGCAGCGGTTCCCTGAGGGAAAAGCGATTGCCAACGGTTCCGCTCGTGCTGGTACTAATATTATACCTACTGTAGATCCTGAAATGTATGCATTAAGCCAACGTAATAAAGATTTCAATGATGTGCGATTTGCCCCCACTATGTCCGATTTGGAAGGATGGGCACTAGCAGGCAAAAAGATACAGCATTGGTCATGGAGGCAAAATTTCAAGCAAAGTCCAGATATGATCGGCGGTGGTTTGAATACTCTAGCCGATGGGCATATTCTCATCAATGTGAGTCAATATCCCAACCCTCCGGAAGTAGCCGATTTTCCAAGCCCTACTCTAGCGGATGGTACTACGGCTAACCCTGATTATATTCAGACATTCAAGGACAAGACATTCCATGTTTTCTGGACAACTGACCATGAGATGCGCATCGACCGTGATGGTGTTCGCTTGTTACCAGCATAGTTCAACAACAGGAACCACGATGATTTTTTCTAAGCTTTGGTTAGGTAAGCCTCAAGAAGAATATGACAAAAACACATCGAAAACTCGTCAACGTATCGGCCATGCCGAATAAAGGACTTAGAGCGGCTGCTCGTGCAAGAAACAGGCGGATCAAATCACTATGAAAATCTTGCACCATTAGACATTTCAGAGAATAGACGAAAACAAAAAAGAACGAACGA